TGGTAGGAGAGAGTGGGGGAATTGGAGCCATGTAAGGAAAAGTAAAACAAAAATACAGTTTTGGTTACAATCACAGACATTTATAGACACTAATCAGTCTTTTAGTTACCCGTCTTTCAATAATTGCTAAAGAACATAAAAAAAATACAGCCTTACATAGGTAAAATCACGTTTTTTATAAATCTTACTTTTGGTCCCATTACCCCACGCATCGGGTAATGAGAGCCATGAAATAACATTAAACGAAATAAAATCATATTTTTACCTATTAAAGAAGAACTTAAACAATCAAAAATTTTTAAGTAATCAACAAAACATAAAATAAAACATTTTCATTAAAAAAGTAATAACAAAAAAGGTATTTTAGGGATCTAAACAAAAATTGCAAAGATAATCTTTAGGGTGATCGCAACCTGAACACTCAGAATGGGCCCATTTGCCACAAGCTCTGCAACGATACCATAATTCTTCATCTTTACCAACATCGTTACAAATCATAAGGAGTGTTCATTTTATTAAACGGACACTTTTAAGTAACGCCACTTTTCTAATTTTTAATCTAAATTATTCTAGTTTTTATATATGAAAGCTTTAAGTTGCATCTATTAAATGCCACTTTGGTTTTCAAAATAACGTTATTTCTTTTTAAAATGAAGCGAATCGCCTTTGGGGCAAGAAAATTATTTTTGCAAAAGTGATGCTACGAAAAATTTCCGTTGGGGGGACTGCCAAAAATAACTAAATGTTCAAAATCAGCAGTGTTCCAAATAACCAAAAAGTTTGGGGAGTTTAATACTTTAGAAGATTTGCTCAAATCCAGACCGAAAAAAGGCCCGCTTAACGAAAATATTGAGGAAAACATCATTAAACTGCTAAAATTAACGAAATGTATGTCTGTGCGGGAAATACCGAAGAAGCAAGGTGTTACCGTAGGTACTGTACAAAATATAAAGACTCGGAATAACATTAGAACGTGTTAAAGCAAAAAATCCCAAAAAGAAGCGAAAAGCAGCGCATACAGTTTCAAAAAAAAAAGCAGGAAATTATAAACAATTTTGGTCAGGAACAAAAGTCATTGTGTTTTGATGGACAACGAAACGAAGGTTAAAATGGACTGCAATACACTACCCGGCTCCCAGTTTTATAATGCAGTCGTAGGGGAAGATGTCCTCGATGACATGAAAACAAAAAAAATTGAAAAGTTTGGGAAAAAAGTCTTAGTGTGGCAACCGATTTGTTCTTGTGGGCTAAAAAGTTTTAGTTTTTTTTTACGATTGGAACAATTGGAGGCGATGTTTACAGGAAAGAATGTATAAAAACGCGATTATCGCCTGTTTATTGCAAACATCATAACCCTCCATTGTTTTGGCCAGATTTGGCTTCGGTTCACTGCGCTGGTGCCACTCAGGAGCTTCTTAATGCCAATAATGTACAGTTTTTAAAAAAGGAAGATAAACCACCCAACTGTCCTGAGCTTCGTCCACTTGAGCGATAATGGGCAAATATGAAAGCAGTGTTAAGAAAAGATGGCCGAACAACATCATAACTTGGAGAATTTAAAAAAATGTGGCCTCCTGCTACGAAGAAAATCACAAACAAACCTGTGCAAACAGTGATTCGCGGTATTCGCGCAATAGTTAGAAAATTTTATAGTTTCTGAATATAATTGATTAGAGAATAAGAATAATTATTTCATTTAACATTGTTAAACATTTTTATAACAAAAAAAATTAAATTAGCCCAAAGTACTCGAATTAGTAGCAATTTTTCAGTGTCCGCTTTATAAAATGAACATTCCTTACATACATTTTCCTCCTCAGAACATTCAGAATCATCATCACAAATATTATTTTCATCGATAGTTGATTCGTCAGAAGTGCTGTCTTGGAACAAATATTTAGTTACTCTGTTTATATTTTTTTGAGATAATTTATTCTTAACCTGTCTCTTATTCTTAGATTTATTTATTTGTATTTTCTTTGATTTATTCCTATTCATCACTCTTTTGTTCTTTTTCACCTTCTTCTCCTCAAAAACTTCCTTCATAAGGGTAATAAGAGCCATGACGGGGTAATGGGAGCTTGAGTAGCTCCCATTACCCGGCAGTTAACCATCTCAAGATAGCGACAATAACCTAAAAAACTTCGCTAAATAAGTTTGTCTTTCAATGTTATCATAAAATTGAATAAATAATGCATATAATAGAGGCAAAATACGACAGAATAATTAAGTTTAGGTACTCACTTTATTTCTGAGATCTTGCACTTTTTTGTAGTGAGATCACTCCAAACGCACTTCTTTATAGTTATACTTTATAGTATTTTGGTTTTGATGTTTATTGGATGAATGTTTACACGTTACTCGACCGTTTCAGGGCGGTTTTTGATAAGAATTTTCTGGCGCGAAGGAGTTCAACCATCATTATTAATTTCATTATTAAATTTTTATTTAGACAGTCGATATTTATTTGTTAAAATCAATGGATTTAAATCAGAACTGGTGTTCCACAAGGTTCCGTATTGGGTCCCTTGCTTTTTGTATGTGTATTAATGACATTGTTGATGTCATAGATGTGCATTCCCTTCTCTTTGCGGATGATCTGAAGATTTATTATACTGTAGTCAATTCATATCATGATTCTCTTCGGGTTCAAAAATTTCTTGACAGAGTTTACAGATGGTGTTGGAATAACAATTTAATGATTAATAAAACTAAACGCTACGCCATATCATTTACTAAAAAAGAAAAACTTATTATTTACAGATACAGTTTTGATAATACCGTTCTTACTAGGCCTGAAGTTATACGCGATTTTGAACTCAAAACTTTCGTTCAGGAAACATTTTCAGGCAATAACTGAGTCTGCTTTCAGTCTGGAATCGTCGGGAGTTTGGTGCTATTGAAATACTGAAATTACTCTATTTCACTTACTGTAGATCTTGTCTTGAATACGTCTCTGTCATATGGAGTCCTGTATATAATATCCACATTTCTTCTCTTGAAAGAATACAAAGACGTTTTTTTAAGACGGTGTCCTACATAGTCGATGGCGTTTATCTCCTGAGAGGTTATTCTCAGGATCTACTTCTGCTAAATGGACGTAGAGAGCACTCGGTAATAAGTTTATTTAAAATTGTCAAAGACTGCAAGAGTGTCCTGATTTACTTTGCAATTTATCACTTAAGGTCAACAGAGGGCCCATCCGTAGTAAAAATAATTTCTATTTGTCCACTGTACGCACTAACAGTACAGCAGGTTACCCACTTATTCAAATGATTGTTAATTATATGGACATCGAGAATCAAGTTGATCTATTTAATTGCACTTTAGGTCAGATTAAAAGATACTATCAAACAGAGCCAAGTTGAAGTTATGGTTAAAATATTTCTACAACGCTTCTGTGTCCTATACCTAATTGGGTTCCCCACCACTCTGCATTAATTATTGTTATTTATTTTAATAAACGAAAGTTTTTGCTCCACATTTTAATAGGTATTCGACAATTTTTTTGTGACCTCCCGAATAAGCTGCGTAAAGCGGTGTCCGACCATATTTATTAGCGCAATTGATTTTGGCTCCGCATTTCACCAAGCATTCGACAATTTTTTCGTGGCCTTTCGAGGAAGCTTTGTAAAGAGGTGTCTCACCATCATTATCAGCGCCATTGATTTCGGCTCCGCACCTCAATAGGCATTCGACAATATTTTCGTGACCACTCAAAGAAGCTGCGTAAAGTGGTGTCCGACCATATTTATCAGTGCAATTCATTTCGGCTCCGCATTTCATCAGGCATTCGACAGTTTTTTCGTGACCTTTCCAGGAAGCTCCGTAAAGGGGTGTCGAACCATATTTATCAGCGCGACAGATTTCAGCTCCGCATTTTACCAGGCATTCCAGAATTTTTTCGTGACCTTGGGAGGCAGCTGCGTAAAGCGGTGTCAGACCATTATTAGTAGCGCGATTGATTTCAGCTCCGCATTTTACCAGGCATTCGACAATTTTTTCGTGACCTTGAGAGGAAGCTGCGTAAAGAGGTGTCTGACCATTTTTATCAGCGCGATTGATTTTGGCTGCGCATTTTACCAGGCATTCGACAGTTTCTTCGTGACCTTTCGAGGAAGCTGCGTAAAGCGGTGTGCGACCATATTTATCAGCGTGATTGATTTTGGCTCCGCATTTCACCAGGCATTCGACAGTTTCTTCGTGACCTTTCAAGGAAGCTTCGTGAAGCGGCGTCCGACCCAAATTATCAGTGCGATTAATTTCGGCTCCGCATTTCACGAGGCATTCGACAGTTTCTTCGTGACCTTTCGAGGAAACTTCGTGAAGCGGTGTCCGACCATTTTTATCAGCGCGATTGATTTTGGCTCCGTATTTCACGAGGCATTCGACAGTTTCTTCGTGACCTTTCGAGGAAGCTTCGTGAAGCGGTGTCCAACCATCTTTATCAGCATGATTGATTTCGGCTCCGCATTTCACGAGGCATTCGACAGTTACTTCCTGACCTTTCGAGGAAGCTTCGTGAAGCGGTATCCGACCATTTTCATCAGCGCGATTGATTTTGGCTCCGCATTTCACGAGGCATTTGACAGTTTCTTCGTGACCTTTCGAGGAAGCTTCGTGAAGCGGCGTCCGCCCCAAATTATCAGTGCGATTGATTTCGGCTCCGCATTTCACGAGGCATTCGACAGTTTCTTCGTGACCTTTCGAGGAAGCTTCGTGAAGCGGTGTCCGACCATTTTTATCAGCGCGATTGATTTTGGCTCCGCATTTCACGAGGCATTCGACAGTTTCTTCGTGACCTTTCAAGGAAGCTTCGTGAAGCGGCGTCCGACCCAAATTATCAGTGCGATTAATTTCGGCTCCGCATTTCACGAGGCATTTGACAGTTTCTTCGTGACCTTTCGAGGAAGCTTCGTGAAGCGGCGTCCGCCCCAAATTATCAGCGTGATTGATTTCGGCTTCACATTTCACCAAGCTTTCGACGGTTTTTTCGTGACCTTTCGAGGAAGCTTCGTGAAGCGGCGTCCGACCCAATTTATCAGCGCGATTGATTTTGGCTTCGCATTTCACCAAGCTTTCGACAGTTTTTTCGTGACCTTGAGAGAAAGCTTCGTGAAGCGGTGTCCGACCATCTTTATCAGCGTGATTGATTTTGGCTCCACATTTCACCAGCCAATTGACGGTTTTTTCGTGTCCTTGAGAAGAAGCTGCGTGAAGCGGTGTCCGACCGTCTTTATCAGGACGATTAATTTCCGCTCCGCAATACACGAGGCATTCGACAGTTTTTTCGTGACCTTTCCAGGAAGCTTCGTGAAGTGGTGTCCAGTCATAGTTATCAGCGCGATTGATTTCGGCTTCGTGTTTCGCTAGATATTCGACGATTTTTTCGTTACCTTGAGAGGAAGCTGCGTAGAGCGGTGTCTGACCATCTTTATCAGCGCGATTGATTTCGGCTCCGCCATTCACCAGGCATTCGACAATTTGCTCGTGACCTTGAGAGGAAGCTGCGTACAGCGAAGTACGACCATAATTATCAGTGCCATTCATTTCGGCTCCCCATTCGACTAAATGTTTTGCAATTGTTACGTGCCCTCCTCGCGAAGCTATTATAAGAGGCGTACTACGATCGAATTCAACACTAAAATTTACTTCTTCATTAGAAATACTCGAAGATGAAAATAATATTTTAACCGCTTCTGCGTATCCGTGCAAAGCAGCAAAAAATAAAATATTAATTTTGTCTGTTCGACTATACGAATCTTTCAGTTGTAATTTGCGTGATTGCAATAATTCCAGTTCCGCTCCCAAACTTTCACTTTCTTGTGCCCACGCTAAGGGTGTGAGTTGATGTAAAAAATCTTGTTCTAATATTTCACAATTATCTAACAAAAACGATAACGCTTTAAAATATTCTTTCGTTTCTAATGAACTACTCATAATCTCCCTAGTTGCCTCAATAACATAACCTCCAGATTCGGTTTGTACATTTAAACGTTCATGTCTTCGTCCCCAAGAACAAATGAGATGTAAGGCACTTCTTCCACATTCATCTTTACGTTTTATTATTTCGTCTTCAAAGTTCTCCACTTCATCAAAATTTCTGTATAAAATCGAGATGTGAACCGGTGAATCTTTGCCAGTTATCAAGTCGAAGAAAAAGCGTACATTGTTATACTTTTGATCAAAAAATATGTCTCTGCGTGCCATTCCAAAATTTTTAGAAAAATATAAGGCTACAAAATATTCGGCAAATGAAGCATGTGCAAATTGCGGAATGCCGTTTAGTAATCCAGTCATGATACCAACAGTTGCGACATCTTCAGAAACATAATCTATATCTTGTGAACAATTTATCTCTAATTGTTTCAAAACATCTTCAGGAAATATTACTACAAGTGCCAACTTTTCATACTGTATTAATTTTACTTCCTTTTTCTTCTTTACTTCTTCTTCCCAATAATCATTGTTTACGGGCACTTTATCTCCGTAGAAAAACTTAAATTTTCCTTCAATAAAGTAATGATACATGTCAGTCAGGAGAAATTTATTGTCTAATAACTGTAAATATTTTTCCTTATTTTTAAGTAATACGTCTGTAAGCATAAAAATTTGAAGAGGGATTCCCAATATATCTATATGTTTTGTTAATGCAAACGTTGATTTAATTTTGTCGATGATGAGTTTCATAGCTTCAGACGAAATAAAACCGTTAAGACGTTTCTTAATGTAGTCGTCTTGCTCGACTTCGGTGAGCTGATTGATACTCACTGACAGAGTATTAAATTTTTCTTCAAGAGAAGATGTCAAATATTGCCTCGCAGTAACCCACTGAATGAAACCTTTCTGCGATAACATAAGAATAAGATCTAAAGTACCAGTTAAATAATGAGTAAATATTTCATCAAGAGCGTCCCATACGTAAACCACATTGCGTTGCTTTAAACACAGTGTCAAATATTCTCGATCCAGCCCAGCTAGGTGTCGGTATTTTTTGTTTAAAATGAATATTTCAAATGGTTTTAAATCTCCTGATATTTCAGACTTTCCTGAATTTTTCAAGAAAGACATAACATCTTGAGCACTCAGAATCACGGTCCAATATCTCGCACAACAGTTCTTTTTTAGACTCTTCATTAACTCGGTTTTGCCCATTCCTGGGTCACCTGTTATTAGATTTATGTTTTTGCTGAATTCGGAAGACCAAATTTCGTTTTCGTTTTTGTAAAGACTAAGTAATCTATAATTTTGCAGTTCATTAACAGAGCCTTTGCTTCGAATCCATTCTAAATTTTGATCTTCGAGAAATTTAAAATAGTGTACAGTGTGGGATGCTGCTCCTTTAGAACATATTTTCTGAAAATCAGTATAACTGCAATTTTTTTCACTCCTTATAAAAATTGGATTATCAAAAATTTTGGAGTCTGTATTATTTAAAAAATTCTCGATGTCTGTTAGAGTATGGTTTTTATATATTTTCAATTGCTGAGAATTACCTTCGCAATTTAAAATGATAACGGTGTTTGGATTAACATGTTCTAAATATTTAATGTCTATAATATTGACTGACAAATATCTGTCGATATAAAGATTGGGAAAAACTTCCTTTTGTCCATCTATATGGCATAGACCATTTGCCATCTCTAAAAGTTTTTGCACAGTAACATGTTTGAAAATTTCTTCATTTTTTTCGAAAGCGGTCACTAACTTAATTGCTTCTTTTCCTTGTAAAGAAATGGTGAAATTTTGCAGTACTTTTTCATACAATTCGCCTTTTGATTTCAAGTTGGACATGTTTTGAAACACAGATCGTTCTTTCATCCATTCTTCACATTTTCCCTCACCTAGTATGACAAATTTTGCATCTGAACAGAGTTTAATAGCTTTTTCCATATTTTCGTGTTCCTTTACAATAAGCGGACTTTTCTCCATCAGCCATAGCAACTGTGTCAACAAATTTGCATCCAGATTTTCGACACTACTTATATAATCACAAGAAAGAAAATAAAGTGATCGAACTTTGTTGAGTTCCTTCAGGTCAACATTTTTGTCCAAGTCGCTCCACAGATTTTTAATTGCGTTGCTGTCTTCTTTTTCCAACAACGTAATGTCAAACAGACAAACAGCCTCTCGAAGAAGAATTTTCATTTCGTCTGTGACTGAACCAAAAATAAATGGTTCGATCTGAGAAGAGAGCAAACGAAGGGCGATTGCACGGTTCATCATCCTTTTGTTTAGTTTTTCTTTTTTCCCGTCTTTCAAACTCCATTCCGATATGACGTCGACGTATTTCTTGAATGTTTCTTCGTTAGAGCAAAACATCTCAGTAAATTTATTCATTGTTGATTTTGTAAGAGCTTCAAAATGTTCTTGGTTTGTATAAAGACGAAAGCTTTCGAAGAATGTTCGATAGTCCTGAATTTTTTCAGGATATTGTTTAGTCTGTTCGTCTTCTAGAATTTGAAATTTATAATAATAATCTATATCTTTTGAAATTCTTAATATTCCGATGTCGTCTTCTGAAACTGTTTTTTTAATCGCCTTGATGTAAAACTCTTCTCCTTCGAGCTTAAATTTTGTTTCATCTGAAGTTGTAAAACTATTTGTGGTGAATAATATAAATTCTTGCACTTCGCCCTGTACATCTTGAGAAGATTTGAAATATTTTATTAAACTGAAGTTTCCCGTTTCACTTGCCAACTGCTTTATGTACAATTGTTTTTTTTCGTTACTATGTTTTAATTGCAGTGCTTTTGTTTTTGTTTCCATATCTGTCTGAATTTCGATAACCACGTCATCAAAAGCACCAAAATTTTTGTCGTTCGAAGAAATGCGGAAATCTCTTATTTTACTGTCGCTTACCATTTGTAGTGCGACGTTAGCGGTAACCAAATCTTCGTACTTTTTGCCCTTATCGGTAGTTCCTGCTCGTTTTTCGAAAATCTGAAACAAAACCAACAACGTGAATAAATCTAGAAAAACTATAATTCGTTTAAAAACATAGACCTGAAATAGACAATACGTATTCCCTGTTATGGTTCATTATTTAATTATTTTTCTAATTTAGTCTGTTAACTTGCATGTGTATGTGAATATTAATGATTAACAAAAAATAATCATAAAGATTTAGCAAAAGGATGACACACCCCCAGAATTGTAGTAGGTGGCGCGTGGAGCTACAAAAGACTTACTTCAACGGAAGTCACGTGGTTTTTATGAAAACCAATATAAAATTTTCATGAAATGCTGTCAAAATCATGAGGTGAAAAAATCAACAGCACTTCAGTAGGTTATAATTGGAAATAATGCTGCTTATAAACCTAGGACAAGAAATCAGAATTTGTCCCTTACGTCCTATTCGACAGCAGGAATTAATATAAACAACTACACGAATTGCACAGTTAGCATTAGTCCTGGAGACTAAATTTGAATTTAGTTTTATGATTAAAATAAAGAACTGTAACACTTAAAACCCTTTTATTGTATTGATTTTTAATTTTCTAAAACCGGGAAGAGGAAAATGTACCTTCCTCTGTGAAAAAGTGCGCGTTATAATCTCGCTTGTTTGCTGTCCCCGGTTACGCCTCGACTACCAAACTGCAGGCATGCGTATAATACGCAGTTTTTCATTCTTGGTACATCAATAACTACCGACTGACTGTTAATAAATGAGATTTTTTTGACAGGTTAACATCCTATTTAAAATTTTATAATGGAAAAGATGATTTTTAAGGTAACATATATAGCAGCTGCCATCGTCTTAACCAATCAACACATTTGTTACTTGTGACCATGTAAAAATTGACAACTGTAAACTGAAGTAGGTACTAGCATTTTTTGCCAATAATTTAGAATTACCAACGCAAAAATTTGTTTCAAACATTAACTATTGATATGGACTAAATTCAAATATACATATATTATCGATTCATCAAAACGTCCAAATGCGTTATTTAACAAACTCGATGCAGACAATTACTGCCCCATTAGTCTAACGTCTCTTGTCGTGAAGGTCATGGAGTCCATTATTTACGATAATATGATTGCGTTTCTTATGAAACATAATGTAATTCCGCCAGCACAGCATGGTTTTCTGCCGGGAATAGTTATTTACATTATGAGTGCGGTAGGTAACATTTTGCAGGTTGAGGTCCTAATTTGCCACCCGACGCGAAGCGAAGGGTGGCATGGGACCGAAACCTGCAAAATGCCTAACGCACGAAAATTGTATTCAATTTTTTCGCCGACATTGATTTTATTTTAAAAAATATTTGTTTTTAAAAATATTTTTCGAAATGGAAATAATGAAGTGACACTTTATAGACTTGACATGGTCTGTGACTTGACGTTTACTGAAGGAATCTATAATACCGGCAGCCACGAGATGGCGCCATGTGATTTTATTTTTTAATAATTCATTTTTTCTAATTCAAAAGTTTTGATCGAACAGGGAAGGAATGGACTTGTGTTCGGATGTCTCATCTGAAATACACGATTGTTGCGTTCGAAGAATAAACCTCTAAATTTTGCGTTTTGGTTTCATTATTCATAAAACTTTGCTGACACTTTTTTTATTAGAGCTTCTAGAGGCTAATGCATATTGAATTACTTTGGCACCCAAAGGCGGTAAAGCAACGGTAAATTGATATTTGGTGCGTAAAGTCATTGTTACGCGGCATGTCAAAGGTGTATGAATGTTTTGTTTACATGTCAGGAGGCGAAAATAGTAATTTACACGACTAGTTCGAGATAACCGGCTTCCCGCATGAACGCTTGTTTGCGGCACGACCGAAACGTGAATGCGGGAAGCAGGCTCACGAACGTGTCGTGTACAATATTTTTTGCAACGAATAAACCTTTAAACTGAAAAGATTAACTGTGAGTGATATATAAATAACAGCGTTGACAGCGTCCTAAACACGTCACAATGTTGACACTACCCAACTATTTTAAGGTTACCATGCAACGGAAAGTTAAACACGTGTGCGGGAAGTTCGACCTCCCGCAGCTTGGTGAATGCACGAAAGTCAGCAAAAAAGGTCATGAGTGCAAAAAATCTATGAACACCAACCTTCTGACTTCTCTCGCTGATTGGACTCGAGCCCTGGACACGGGTGACACAGTGGACGTTGTATATGTATTTCGATTTCTCCAAGGCTTTTGACCGTGTGCCTAAGCGTCGTCTTCTGTTTAAATTAGATCACTCTAGAAGTCTAGAATAAGGGGCAACCTTCTTCGCTGGATAGACTCCTTTCTCACTGATCGTTCATTTAGGATCAGAATCGGTAATTCTGTTAGTGTCCCAGTTAAGGTACTGAGCGAAGCCGCTCAAGGCTCCGAACTCGGCCCCTTGTTTTTTGTAGTTTATTCGTCAGATATCACCAACGGTTTGAGATTTAAATGTGCTATGTACGTCGACGATGTAAAACAACTCTAGCGCGAACTGTATGATTTTAAGCAACGATATCACCTCAATCCACACCTGGTCCCTGGTCCCGTGACTGGTTAATTCCATTAAATGTGTCTAAGTGTAGAGTACTCCACCTCGGAGGACTAAACCCTCGGAATTGTTACTACCTTAATGGCGTCGAGCTTTCTAAAACGAACACCTGCTCCGATTTAGGTGTTACCATTACATCAGATCTTTCGTGGTCAGAACACGTTGCTTGCATGACCAGTAAGGTTAACAAAACAGTGTATTTAATCACTAAAGCTTTTGGGAAAGCGAACATTAAGGTTATTGTTGCATTATATAAAACATATACACTGACCGGCGGCAAAAAAAAACTGCCACTCTGAAAAATTTCGCAAAACCACTTTAAAAATTATTAACTTAACTAGTGATCGTTATTTATTATTATTATCGTTATTGACACATGATGTACAAATTAGCAAAAAAAAGAAGACAAATAAATGCAGAATTATATTTAATTTAACGAAGAATTTATGATTTTACGGGCCTTTTGTTAATTTATTTTTCAAGAAATGCGGTCAAAAATTAATTAAAGCTGTGAAAACAAGTAGTAAGAGGACATAAATTATTTGGGTAGTCGACTTATGTGGACCTAAAATTGTATTCATGAAAGAGTAATGATAACATTACGATTTTTTGTATCAGGTATATATGTAAAACTATTATGTAAATCATTGAACGAAATAAGGTGTTCTCCATAAGTTATATCACGCAGATTTTGTGGTTTCTGTGTCACAGGTTGTCACATTCATATGATCCCACTTTCTGTTATAATGTCATATTTAGAGAGCGGAAAATATGCAGCCAAATTTTATAAATATCATCATATGATAGGTATGCACCAAATTTATGCAAATATGCAGTAACTTTCTTAATACAGCGTGTTATTGAAAGGTGCGTACACAACAAAATCGGCAATTGGTCTCGAAGTATGGGTGCTAAAAGTAAAAAAAAGTTCAGGTAAAAATGTTCTCCTTTTACAGATAAAAATTATTAAAATTTATGTCCAAATTCGTTGTACGCCTCTGATGAAAAGATCGTCTTTCGTTTCTATAGCAACATTTAGTCTTGACAAAAGTTTTATTGTTACAGTTGCTAGGATTTACTAAAATAAATTAATTTTACCTATTTATCATTCAGTAGCGTCTAAAAAGGTTGGATAAGGGTTAATTTTCCCCTTATAATTTTGCTAACACAAAATAAGTTTTTCAGACTTCTTAGACTTCGCGAATAACTGTCAACTTTGTTGTACGTACCTTTCAATAACACCCTGTATATGCAGTGATATGCAGTTGCATATGCTCCATAATTAAAAAAAAAACTTAATAAGCGAACTAAATTTATTTACAAATTACAAAAACAGGTTTCCCGAGCTTACGTTTTATTACGAAAAATACATAATCACATTGCAAAGTGTTTAATTACATCTCACTAACACATAAATCACATTTGTAAAGATAAAATTCTTATACTAAAAAATAAATATAAATAGAACATATTAAAAAATAGTAGGTAGTAATCGACTATTTAATTACTATTTTGGTAACAATTTATTTTTTAAATATTTTTCGAATTATTCTAACAAAAATTTTTCCGGTGATTTTAAAGTATGTATATATTTGTAAATAGAAAAACTGCGTACTACGTCCACAGAATTAAAAATACTTACCGGTTTAGAGCAGGCGCGACAAAACACAGTTCCTTCTTGAAGAAGAAGTTAAGGAAAAGGCTTAATCTATAAATGAATTTGAGTTATTTTCGACATATTGACACATCTGTATCGCATTATATGCTTTCAATGCAAACTCACTATGAAAAATAATAGGATAACGTCCCTTCGACCACGACAAAATATACCATTAATACTCTTAAAAGTAACGAACAAAAAAATTGGGAATGAATGGCATTTCGGAAAGTAATTAGGGCGCGAATTTATCTGGACGGATGGTTTAACATCCAGTGGATTCTCCAATCCAAACTACCATAAACCCAAACCTTTCCCAGTTATTTGAAGCTCAGGACAATATTTGCAATATGATTCATGAAATTTCGTCTTTCTGGATAAATGCCGATAGAATGTTTTTTCAGATTAGCACAAAAATTCATAAAAATGCAAAATATGCACCCCTTACGTGAAATATGCAGCAGAAAGCAAATATATGCAAATATGCAATTTTTTATGGCTGTATTCAGTTTTAATTAGCATGATTCGTTCACATATTAAATATCAAGACTTATATGCAAAAAATAACGGATATGCAAATTTCATAAAATCCGCTCTCTAGTGACGACTAATTAATATAATAATAAACAAATAGTTCATAAACCTCAAGTTTCATGCGATTAACTTTATTTATTAATTGAAAAAACTCAATGTCTTTACCTCCTTTACCACCTCTCTAATTATTTGCACAGCTTACAGTTTTATAATTAAATGCAGAATGCAGTTTCTGATCTAACTGAATACAATTGAGTCGTGTCTGCGACAAACCATGCCGAGTGCTTCCGATTCCCAGGATGGTCAATAATAATAATAATAATAATAATAAATATTTCATTGTGCTTCATAAAATAGTTGGTGTGTTCAGATTGTAATATGTCGCATAAATTTAAAAACCAAAGTAAATATCATATACCTATTTTGGTAAACAAACTCACCTCTTTCGAAAAAGTTTCATTTGCATTTCCATCCTTTTCTTTAGGAATCTGCCTCTTCTTATGTGTATTTTCTTTGGTACTTTTTTTAATTTGGTGATTATTCCCAATTGCTAAAGCTTGTTTGCTTGAAGTATCTCCTGTTTGTATTGGATCTGTCAGCTAACAAAATACTTAATTAATAACATTTATTTATTTATTTATTTATTTATTTATTTATTTAATTATTTATTTATTTATTTATTTATTTATTTATTTATTTATTTATTTATTTATTTATTTATGTAATTATTATAAGATTCAACAAAGTGTTCACCGACAACTTTTTATGGAAGATATGTAAAAAATTGGTCTAAAGAGTTTAGACAGTACTTCCCTCGCTGTCGGAAACGTGACGACTGCATGCCTATTATGTTTTTTTTTTCGCAGTGGATTTCAAAGAATTCGGTTTTGTAGTTCCTGATTAAATCAATAAAATATATTTACGCATTCATTAATTTTTTTGAGTCACTCTGTATATGCAAATCCAAAAAATATAAATGGAGTGATAAATGACAAGTACAGACTCATCATATTTTGTACATTTTAGATATGATTTATTCGGCAAACTTTCGAGCTGACGTCATCAAGTTTTTGGAGGGGATAAGCAAATATATTTTGACTAGACATTTATTACGCTCTTTATGACCTTAAAACATCTGCAAGATTTCAGAGCATGCGGTTTTGTAGTTCCTGATTAAATCAATAAAATATATTTACGCATTCATTAATTTTTTTGAGTCACCCTGTATATGCAAATCCAAAAAATATGAATGGAGTGATAGATCACAAGTACAGACTCATCATATTTTGTACATTTTAGATATGATTTATTCCACAAACTTTTGAGCTGACGTCATCAAGTTTTTGGAGGGGATAAGCAAATATTTTTTGACAAAAGATTTATGATGCTCTTTATAGCCTTAAAACATCTGCAACATTTCAAAGCATTCTGGTTAGCGGATTAAATATTAAATTTCAAAATGTTGTTTTATAATTTTGATTTTTTTTCCAAAAATCTGGACGTTTCGGGTAAAAAGTCGATTCAGAGTTGTAAACTACATGTGTAGGACTATGTTATTTTATACAATTGAAAACCCATTTACTATGTACAATTTTGAAGTGACGTCATCGCATTAGTGGTGGGGATGATTAGACAAATTTTGGTTAGCGTTTTACCATCTACATGATATTCTTAATATAAGTACAAAATTTCACAACAATCGGTTGAGTACTTTCGGAGATTATCTGTCTAATAAAATCCGGGACAACAGACGGACAGACGGACGGACAGACGGACGGACAGACGGACGGACAGACGGACGGACAGACAGACGGAAATGGGAGACCTATTTCTTCATCTTCTAGGGGTCATGAAAGATCGAGAAAACGTAAAAGTAGAGAGTCGGCCGACGGACTCGATTACAATACTTCCTTTGCTTACGCTCGGGAAGTAAAAATAAGTGAATGTAAGAAAGAAAAATCGCGTGTTAATAAAAATGGAACAAATCTTAATTTAAACAAATTCCTAGTATGCCTAGTATATTTAAACACAGAAAGTGACACATTTTCAAACGTGCAAAGAAAAACCTATAATGAAAAGTTTGAAAAGGTAAAAAAATGTAAAACTTAAAATATCTTTTAAATCACTGAACGGGTGGAAGACTCTTTAATTCTAATACTTCTAAGGCAAATAGATCCACTATAATTCGTGTTTGATTCGTTGTTTATAAAATTAATTAAAATTCGTAAATCAATGTTGACCATTAATACATCTGTCTCCTAAAACTCAGCTTGTGCATTATTTTATGATAAATTATATAATCTACTTAATGTATGTGTTCCTAAATACAGAGCTTGTAAATGTAATTATCCGCCCTGGTTTTCTCCATACCTCGTTAGAAAAGTCAAGGTAAAAGCAAGATGTTCTAAAAAATACCTACAAGAAATATGGCAATAGCAAGGACTTAGATGATTTCAAAAGACTTAGAAGTGAAATTAAATCAGAGCTGAAAAATCTTTATAGTTGTTACGTATCTAAAACAGAAGAAGAAATTTCGGAAAATCCCAGCAAATTTTGGCAGGTTCTTAAATTACAAAAAAAAAACAGTTCGGATATTCCACTCAATATGACATGTAATGCTGCTAATTACTTATTCAGGGTCTGATGAAATAGTTGCTGCATTTGCTACAATGTTTAGATTTGTGTGTAATTCTAATCCAACTAGTGTAAAAGATAAAATACTCATTAACACACCTAAAAGTATTTCATTATCTTTAATTTCTGAAAAGGATGTTATTGAATCAATATACAAACTGGAACAGAAATATGCGGCAGGTCCTAACAAAATTCTGGCTATTGTTACACGTGAATGTGCTCCGGTTTTTGCTCCGCCATTAACAGTCTTGTATAATATGTCGCTCAGTTATCTAACTTTTCCTGAAGTATGGAAAAACTGAAAGATTGTTCCTGTTTTTAAGAGCGGTAATAAAAATCAAATGGAAAACTATCGTCCTATATCATTAATTAGCAACTTTTGTAAAATATTCGAATTCATATTACACAAGCAATTCATTTTTCAATTCAAAAATTATCTCTGTCTGAAGTACAGCACGGTTTCATGTTCGGCAGATCGACTGTAACAAACCTTTGTTACAGTCGATCTGCTTTGATGTTGTAACCAAACTCAATTTGTCTCTAAATCCATTGATAATGGTTTTCAGACTGATGTAATATATCTGGATCTATCGAAGGCATTTGATAGGCTAGACCATGACATTTTGTTGGATAAGCTGCGTAATCGTCAACAATTTATATTCGTCAAAGATCATTTTTCTAAAGAATTCACTGCATTATCTGGTGTACCTCAGGGTTCAGTCCTCGGACCGTTGCTGTTTACTATTTTTATGATGATCTTAAATTATATTCCATAATTCATAATGTCCAATACTTTTTTATCCTTCAAAAAGACCTGGAATTAGTTATTAACTGGTGTCATGTCAATTTACTTCCTGTCAACATTAAAAAGTGTGTAGTTATGACAGTTGGTCTCAAGAAGCATGAAATACTATTTCCTTACAAAATAAACAATTGCTCACTGCAAAGACCTGATATTGTAAAGGATTTGGGAGTATATTTTGACAAAAAGCTTGCGTTCGCAAAACATATTGAAAATACAGTAAGGACTTCACTTAAGATATATGGATATATAATACGCAATACCAAGGATTTTTCTAATATTTCAACTTTGATGGGAATTTTTAATGCATTCGTCAGAAGTAAATTGGAGTATGCGTTGGTAGTCTGGTTTCCCCATAGAAAAATGTATATTGATATTATTGAATGTGTGCTGAGAAGGTTTCTAAAATATCTAACTTTCGGTTTGGATGGGTTCTATCCACTTAGGGAATATCCCCAATCTAGGTTATTATACAGCTTTTCATCAAGAAGTTTTAATGAAAGAAATAGTTGTGCTAGAGTAATATTTATCTACAAGTTATTAAATTCTATATTTGACTGTCCACAATTACTAGAGCAGATAAATTTACACGCGAACACCAGATGCTATCAATCTAGATGTAAGAACCTTTTTTATGTTAGCACTCCTCGTACGGATATATTAAAATATTCCCCCTTATATGTGATGTTTAACCTAGGCAATTATGCAAATAAGGTCACTGATTTATTCCATACTTCCGTTAATGAATTGAAAAAACTTGAGTTTTCTCAGATTTAGTTATGTTAGTTCGGGTAGTATTAAAATGTATGTTCACTGAAAATAGCCTGAAGTATGTTCAGTAATTGTAATTTATTCTGTTGAACATACTATAAAATAATATAATTAATATTAATAAAGCATGCAAATCTCGACTCATTTAGAGGTAGCAAATTCAACTTTTGCGACCACGGGTTCAAAAAAACATTGAGGTTATGTACGTAATACTTGATGTGATTATTTCTTAAAAAATTAATAAATGTGTGCTACTAACATTAGTTGAGTATACGCTTGGTAGTTGGTAGACGGTAAAAGATAAAATGATTAATTCAGCGACAAGTGTAAACGGTTTTCTTTGTGTTGAAGATTTAATTTAAGTTTAATTAGAGATCAAAACAAAATCATGTTGCGTCAAAAAATTGACGTTTATTTTTTCAATTTATTGTCTTATGGTTTCTACTAGTGAAAAAAATAGTATATTAACCACGGTTGTAAAGCCAGTTCTAGACCTCGCGTCTCGGGTTCTAATTTGCGCTCGTTCTAGAATGCTTGGTTTTGCAACCTTGGCTAATAATATACTATTTGTTTAAAGTTGTAATAAATCTAAATAAACATTTGTTTTTTACTGGCCCAAAGATATAATACCTTTTTTGAGGAACGTACATTCTCTTCAAAGTGCGAAGTCTTCATCTCTTCTAAATGTTTTCTTCGTGTTCTTTGTTCTTTTTTCCGTTTTAAATTTTCTTCTAATTTTATAATTTCTTTTTTTAATTTTATAATTTCTTTTTCTAATTTTATAATTTCTTCTTCTTCAGAACTCAAGTCCATGATGACGTTGAATGTGTTTGCTGAAAAAAAATTAAAAATTATAAGTACTAATTAAAAAACATCTCTCGCTGTCAGAACACTGATACTAGTGTATGTGTCAATTTTATATTAGCGAATTATTTTTCGAGAGGGGGAAAGAATATAACAGTTAAAATTCGTAAGCTGAGAACGATAGTATTATTATCTTAAAAAGAAAATTTTTATGACTATCTACTATCAAATTCAAATTTAAAATTTAAAATATTCCAACAATTACCTACTACCAAGTATTTAATGTAATTTTAGAAAAGCACTTTTTATACAGTACATGCCCATACAGTTAAAATAAGAAAAAATGGTTTCAAGCTTGCATTTTTTTTACACATTAACAAAACTGATGACAGGATTATAGTCGCTACTGTCAACCTCCGACAAAATTGAAAAAATTCAGATTTTGTCTTTGAGTAGTGGCATTTCTGTCATATTGGTAACTATAGTACGGTAGTGGACAGTGAATTTCGTCCACCCAATTTCTTTGATAGAAAAAAACTCTAAATTAGCCCTTAGATCTTTCTAACCTTTTTTTGTCATTTTGACATAAAGGGGCAAACATTTTTTTATACGATAACTAACACTAGTCCGCGATAAGCCCAAAAGTGTAGCGACATCCCGTCTTGGAAAAGGGATATTAGTTTACCTTCATTAAAATAACTAATCGATGGCAGGTTCGAAGCTAAATTAAATTTGACAATACTTACGTCAGCCATCATGACAATAAAGCACCGACTACAGTGAATTTTTGTGAATTTGCCTGAATTGTGTGAACGAAATTCACTGTCCGCGACTGTACATAAAATATTTACAAAAAAAAAATGGTCTAAAATCATTTAGACAGAACTTCAAATACAGCTTCTTCGAAAAATTATAAAATTTAATTTAGCGAATTATAGTATAATTTAATGATATCCTCTATAAAGTTAAAATAAAGACATGTGCAATTTTGTGATAACATCATCGACATGTTATCAAGGGCACATATAATTTGAACATGTGCAATGTAATACTAAACTAATAATAATAACCCTGTACACTAAAAATTTGGGAAACATGGGATAAGCCGCTCTTGATTTGATCAATAAAATAGATTGTCTGATTCATTATTTTCAACTCCCCCTCTATAAGTAATTTTAAAGCTTGCGATAGCCTTAAAACCTGTGCAAGATTTTAGACCATTCGATTTTGAAATTTCAAAGTTAAATTGCAAAATGTTGTTATTGTGTAATTTTGGTTTTTTTTTTTTAATCTGGATGTCTAGGGTAAAAACTCAAGATTTATGTCATGATATCATGGTTTACTCCGGTCTTCATATCTTATGATTTATGAATGATGATTTTAGTGGAAAAGTGTGGACGTATACGGTTATCACAAGGAAAATAAATTTTAGAAGAATTTGTTTTCCAGTTTATCTAAAAATCTAGGTACATGACGAATTTATTTGAAATGTTGACGAGATACTGATTTAGTCATTATAGAACAATGTTTAAAAATTCGTTAAGAATTGAATCAATTAATTTTGATGATTAAACGGAAAAGTGTAAAAAAATGGGAAACTCATTATCTACCAATTTCATTAAATAATAATAATTGCAAACCCCTGCAGAAGCTCAATTAAATATGTGATTGCGATTAAATTTTTAACACGACCTTAAAGTACCATGTGACCGACTGTACGCCAATCAGACGTCGATAAACGCCTCGTTAAATGCGTGATTAACTTAATCTGAGTTAAAATATCCCATAAACTGCGCAATAAATTATTACCTGATTATTCCTGATATCCGTTAGTCATTTCTGATATATATTTACTTAATTCACAAACCTTATTTAAAAAATATCAAAAGTAAACTAAATTTATTGTTTTCTTAATGGACTTCGTAGGCGTTGAATTTAACTTTCTAGCTGTCAACCAATGCTGGTGGTCTGAAAGAAAACTATAATTATATCTAATTTTGATGCTTGTGTTTTAATAATAAATAATATTAGGAAGAAATCTCAATTAAAGAAACCAAATAATCTTAAAATGCCTATAATACAAACAAAATCGAGAATTAAGCAGTCAGCTAAAAAATTTTACCTTGAATAACTTTGTTATTTGTTAGCCATAAGTAATAATATTAAATTTTCAAATAGAGAATAATAGCTCGCGTGTATTTGTAAATTCACTGGTTTACAAAAGTGACGAACAAAATATACCTACTCCTATTACATTAGATTTAACTTTGCAGTTTTTTTTTTTAATTTCAAAAAATGTGACAAATATATAATATCTGCAAATTACTGCAATTTTTCTTAAAAGAAAATTAATTTTAATTTTCTGACCAACGTTTTTCCTGGTACAACTTTACGTAAAATTTGGTCAAATGTTGGATTAACACTAACTGTTACTATTTCCATACCCTTAGCACATGCTTCTTGCGAAGGTCACATTTCGTCGCCCGTGAACTTGTTTGATCTATAGACCACAGCCCGCTCAGGCAACTTTTGACTCTATAAGCGTTCAGAAGCGATTTGGTTGATTTGGACTATAATTTCTGCGTGAAGTAGTTGTTTGATCGGATTTTATAAAGAATTAACTGAACATTTTTGGCATATATTTAGATGGTTTTATTGTAAATATAATATTACATTCTACATGTTTCACTCGATTTTTAATTGTTTTATACTAGCAAAACGTCTTAAATTAACAATGTTGTTGAAATCGTAATAATCCAACCGCTTTTTTCGGGAAAAACCGAAAAACGAAAAATCGAGAAATCGAAACTCCAAAATTTAAAAAATTAAAAAATTGCAAAATCGGATAATTGAAAAATCGAAACATCGAAACACTGGAAAATCGAAAAACCGAAAATCCGAAAAGTAAAAAATCGAGAAACCGAGAACTCGAAAAATCAAAAATCCAGAAATCGAGAAGCCGAAAAGTAAAAAAAATTGAGATACCAAAATTGGCCAATATTGAAACAACGAAAAGTTAAAAGATAAAAAACTGCAAAATCAAAAATCTAAAAACGAAAAAATATAAAAAAAGAAAAAACGGAGAGGTAGAAAAAAAGGTATAAATTGATAAACTTATATATCGAGAAAATGAACAATCAAAATATCGAAAAATTCAAGTTTCAACAAATGGGGAAATCAAAACCTTGAATAATCGAAAAATTTTAAAAATGAAAAATTCAAAAATTGGTCTAATGAATTTAGATAGTACTTCCTTAGCTGTCGGAAACGTGACGATGCCATGCCTATTATGTTTTTTTTCATTATATTTTTGCAGCGAAGCATTTTAAAAAATTTTTGCGGTGACGTCATCAACATTTTTGCAAGGACACGTATATCAGTTTAATATAATAATAACACACTTGTTCAAGTAAACTTGGAGCATCCAATCTGTTGTTTACTAGCGAATGTAAAAACATTACTAAGTTTATAATTCTTCGGCACTCTAAACTTAATATGGAAAATCTACTCAACAATAATTTTTGAGGAATGTTTCTTATGGGCTATATGCCATCAATCCGAAACACCTGTTTTACCATCTACATGATATACCTAGTATAAATACAAAATTTGACAACAATTGGTCCAGTACTTTCGGAGATTATCTGTCTAATAAAAATCCGAGACGGCAGACAGACGGATAGACATACGGAGAGTCATGATAGGTCGAGAAAATGCAAAAGTAGAGAGTTGGCCGACGGACTCGATTACAATACTTCCTTTGCTTACGCTCGGGAAGTACAAATCGAAATTTTGAAAGAAACGAAAAATTGAAAATCAGAAAATCTAAAATTAGAAAGTCGAAAAATCAAAAGATTAAGAAATCGAATCATTTGAAAAATCCGAAAACGTGAAAAATTGAAATCTCGAAGAACTGAGAATCTAAAAATTGAAAAACTGAGAAATCAAGAAAGTGAAGTCGAAAAATCGAAACCTTAAAAAAATCGAAAAGCCGAAAAATCGAAAAATTGAAGAATTGAAGAACTGGAAAATCGAAACAGTCGAAAATCAAGTAATGAGAAAATCAAAACATCGATTAATTGAAAAATCGAAAAATTTAAAGTTTATAAATGTCAAATTTAAAAAAACGAGAAATTCAAAAACAGAAAATCAAGAACAGAGAAATCGAAAAATCTAAAATTTTTAAAACTGAAATTTTAAAATAAAAAAAAATTAAAAATGTAAAATTTAAAAAATCGATACATCGAAAAATCCAGAAGTCAAAAATCGAAAAGACGAAAAATCCCGAAGCTGAAATATTAAAAACTGAAAAATGAAAGAAAACTGACTGAAAAACCCCAAAACTGAAACATCCAAAAACTGAGAATCTAAAAAATTGAAAAATTGAGAAATCGAAAATTCAAAAAGTTAAGTCGAAAAATTGAAGCCTTAAAAAAAATCGAAAAATTGAAAAATCAAAAACGTGAAAAATCGAAAAATTGCAGAATTGAAGAACAAGAAAATCGAAACACTCGAAAGTCAAGAAATGGGAAACTCAAAATATCGATCAATTGAAGAATCGGAAAGTTGAGAGTTTATAAAAGTCAAAAACTGAAAAATCGAAATATATAAAAAGCGTAGAATTGAAAAAAAGAAAAATTGAAAGAACGTAAAACTGATACAACGGAAAATTGAGAAATCGAAAAACTGCAAAAGTGAGACATTGTAGAATCCAGCAATTGAAATATAAATAAACTGAAAAATGCCAAAACTAATATTTCGAAAAACTGAGAATTCCAAAGTTGAAAAAGCAAGAAACTGGGTAGCCGAAAAATCGAAAAATCTCAATGTCGAGGATAAAAATTCAACGTGGATTCTTAAACCACAAGTTCATGACTATGTTACTTTTTAACATTTAAAGTAGTTGTCAAGATATTTTATTTTGTTATAAGATGCATGAACATAACTGAATAATTTGTTTTTCCGTAGGATGTGCATCAGATCACGCAAAAATCCATTTATAAATTGAGTATTAATTTTATCAATTTTG